TTGAAAAACCATTGGTTTTTTGATGTTTTTATGTTAAAATCGCTACGAACACTAAGGTTTTGGAAGGATTTCGTCTTGCGCGCGCGAATGTCCACTTTACCTTTTTTTTGCAAGGGATTCTTGAAGTTTGGTTATGTTAGAACAAGAAATGTTTTGCCTTATTTTTTGCAAGGGAAAACCGCCCGTAACAAAACAACCGGATCCGGACCAACCCGTTTTGCCGGAGACTTCCTCACGAAAGTGATGAAAACATGGCTGCGGCCTAGGCGCGGCGAGGGGGCCGTGCACCAGGGGTCCCAACAATAATTATTCTTTAGAAGTAATAATGTTCAACAACAACAACAGCAAGTACTAGTACGTGGGGACACTCCGTTCTCACCAGTGCCAGGGTTGTCATAGGAGGCGGGCAATACCCCCACTTTGTGGGGGGGCCGGTTCAAGCTCTACCAAATTTCCAAACGACTCTTCGCCACCACCCACACCCAGCTTCCCGCCCTATGACGTTCGGACACTTCACTTCGTGGCATGCGGACGACCGTGGCTACTATTCAGGGCCCCGCGGCCGACGACGACGGCGTGCGCGCGCGAAGAAAAAAGGAATGTGTCCCGCATGGTATTATTTGACAGGGATGATGGCCCTGGCAGGTGCGCAACCGTTGTTGCAGAACTTCGAAAAAGTTGCTCACAAAAGCCCATTTGACAGAAATGTTTAAAAAGTGTTGGGTTTCCTACGAATCCGCAAGAGCGCGCGGGATGAAATTTTGACAATTTTTTCGAAAAGCCATTTTTTTTTTTTTTTTTTTTTTTTATATGTTTTTATGTTAAAATCGTTACGTACACTAAGGTTTTGGAAGGATTTCGTCTTGCGCGCGCGAATGTCCACTTTACCTTTTTTTTTGCAAGGGATTCTTGAAGTTTGGTTATGTTAGAACAAGACATGTCCACTTTAGCTTATTCTTTGCAAGGGAAAGCGGGGGGGGACAAAACAACCGGATCCGGACTCCCCCGTTTTGCCTGAGACTTCCTCACGAAAGTGATGAAAATGAGGCTGCGGCCTAGGCGCGGCGAGGGGGCCATGCACCAGGGGCCCCAACAATAATTACTCTTTAGAAGTAATAATGTTCAACAACAACGACGACAACGACGACAACGACAACGACAACGACAACGACAACGACAACGACAACGACAACGACAACAATAATCATTTTAAGACTGTTCGGTCCTATCTGCTCACGTGCTAATCAATACGTATATCGCAAAACCTCGGTACCCACCCTCGTCGGCTTCGATCGTGCCCCTTGGGGATATAATTTCCTTACCTGCCACGCGTGTTTGGTGCAGCCCTTAAAACAAGGGAAAGAGAGGATGGGTGGAAGGGGAACGGACAATAATGTAACACGAGAGAAACGAGCAGGAGTGGGGCAATGAGTTGAAAACAGATGGTAAAACCAAGCGGCCAGATCAGGTAGGCAAACCCATAGCGGGCAGGTCGGGAAGGCAGGCGGCGAGATCGAGCAGGCGGGTTGTTGAAGCGTGGCTCTTGCATGAATCGCGAGGAAGTCCCAAGCGATAGCGCGATTCGTTGGTAAATCGTGACAAAAGCCAGCGTGAGCTACGAAGGGCATAACATCCGAGGCCACAGAGGGCAGCGACGGGGCTGTTGAGGGCAGCGCCGAGGCCACGAAGAACAGCGAGGGGGCCACAAAGGGCGACAGCGGGACCACAAAGGGCATGCATATGGGGCCACGACGGGCGCGAGCGAGCGGGGGTCACGAAGGGCATTCGTATACGTGGCCAAGAAAAACGACAGCGGGGACACTGAGGGCAGCAAGGGGGCCACGAAAGGCGGCGAGGGGGCCACGAAGGGCGACAGCGGGGCTACGAATGGCATGCGTATGGGGCCATGTCGGGCGCGTGCGAGCGGGGGCCACAAAAGGGCAGCGACGGAGCCACTGAGGACAGCAACGGGGCCACGAATGGCAGCGATCGAAAGGGACCGCGGAACCAGCACGGGCAGCGAAGGGCATCGAAGGCGGGCGAAGGGCAGCGAGAGGCGACTGCAGTCATCAACGGGCTGGTCGGGCGGGCAGGCCCCGACGGCCGGGTCGAGCGGGCGGGTCGTTGAAGCGTGAGTCCTGCCTGATCCGCCAGGCAATATGCAGCGGGAGCGCGATTTCTGAGCGTCTAGGGGCGGTATTTAAATACATTGTGAGGAAATATCAAGCGAAGCGGTTCGGTGGCAAGTTGCGAAGAAGTCCCAAGCGAGACCGCGATTCTGCATTTAATTGTCGAGAAATACTGAGCGGGAGCAGCGGTTCGGTGGTAAAAATTGCAAGAAGTCTCAAGCGAGAGCGTGATTCTTCAATACATTGTGAGGAGGCATCAGATTCGAGCCCCGGGAAGGGCACTTCTCAATCGAAAAAAATAATGTGCACTGGGCGGGGGGATCAACAATAATCATTTTCCAGAAGTGAGAGTTCAACAACAAGAACAACGACGACGACGACGACAACGACGACAACAACAACACAACAAAGGTAGTCCGAACCACGGATCCCCACTTCAGCCACCCACCCAGGGACAAAAAATGACCGTTCGGCCCGTTCAGTCTGATACTGATAGTAGCATACAGTTCGTAATGTGCAGTTATGACCAAAGGCGGTAGCCAGGTGACGGATATGAGGGATGAGTCGTGGTTGGAAATGACGTGCCTACAGTAGGTGGGGGAAGAGGATGCGTCCTCATCCTCCTCCACCTCCTCCCGCCCATGTCCTTCCTGTTCCTTCTCTTCCCGGGGGGGGGTCGGAAAAGAGAGAACTCGAAGGGAGAGGGGTAGAGGACTGACAGGAGGGTGGACTTGGAGGGCGGCGTTCAGAGCCCTCCAGGCGACGTGGCCGACTCACGGGGTGGCTCCCCCCTTCCCCCTCCCACTTAGGATCCCCCCCAGAAAGGGAGGGTTCCCCAAACCGCCCCCGAAACCGAGCCGTGGTTCTGGTGGATATGGCTGGCCCAAACCGATTCCCCCGCATATGCCAAGGAGGTGGTTTTTAGTTCCCCGAGGGGCCCGGTCACAGCCGCGCCTGGCCCAGGCACCACCCTTCGAAGAAGAAGAGGGTGGTGGAGAAGGGGGAAGAGGAGGAGGAGGAGGTCTTGGAGGAGGAGGTAGAGTTGAACCTCGTGTTGCGGGACGAGGGGTACTAGCTGGAAGAAGGAGGGGAGGATATGGAGAAATTGGACGAGCAACTAGAGGAGGAGGGGGAGGAGGAGGAGGAGGAGGAGGAGGACCAGCGTAAACCCAAGAACCATCAACAATGTTGGAATAAGCCCTCCTCCAAGCTACCCTCTTCACAGGCCACTACAACGGCTCATTTCCAGTGAAGGAACTTCCTCTTTGGGAGACAACCATTTGATGATCCTAAACCATGCCAGAACATTGTTCTCGGGATTTCAACGCCACGGATCAACCTGACTGTTGCGTCTTGACAATCCGCAATCGTGCCAGAACACTACTCCCGGGACTTCAACACAGCGAATCAACATAATTGTTGCACCCGCATAATCCTAAATCTTTTGAAAACACCATCTCTGACACGCTAATGATGACAATAAGTGCAACTATTGCTGATGTTTACAACGAATGTGCGCGACGCTATGGCGAGAGCCACATTCTGAAAAGGAGCCGCCCTCAATCCGTGAAATTCTGGCAAATATTTAAAACGAATGCGCGCGGCGCTAAGGTGATAACCACATTTTGAAAACGACTCGCCCTCAATATGTGAAGCTCTTGCAAATGCTTAAACGAACGTGCGCGGCGCTAAGGCGAGAGCCACATTTGAAAACCACCCGTCCTCAATCCGTGAAGTTTCTGTAATTCGTTAAAACGAATGTGCGCCGTGCTAAAGCGATAGCCACATTTTGAAAACGGCCCCCGCCCTCCATCTGTGAAACGGTTGCCAATTTTGAAGCTTCATAGTCATACATGGTGAGGGGGTCTCACGCGAAACGCCCGGCCCGCCCTTTTTACTGGGCCCGGGGTGCGACAGGGAAACGTTATGTATAAGGAAAAGGGATGGAGGAGGATTAGGAGGAGGAGAAGGAGGAGGAGGAGATGGGGTCGAAGTATGATATCAAGGGGCAGCAGCTGGAGGATGAGGAGGGGCTGGTAGGGGAGGTGGATACGTAGGAGCTGGAGAGAGTGGAGCAGGGCGCGGGCGGCCCATTAAGCGCCCCCCGCTTCGATCTCTGCGGTCCTCGACCCTGGACTCGCCGACGATGCGACGATTCGACGGCGTCGACGATGACCATGACGACGATGACGTCGGCGACGTCGACGACGACAATGGCTGTGGCGGCGGCGGCCTCCCTGCTCGTCGCCACTCCAGGCCTCGACTGGGTGGGGGCAGCGGTGCGTTTTGGCGAGGGGGGTGAATCCCAAAGCCATGCCACTTCTAAGTAGCATCCAGCTGAGGCTTTGCTGCTTGCTTCACCGATGTGCCCATGTGCCAGGTTCTCCGAAATGGCCATCGCGCTCCGCCCACCACGGGTCCGCCTGTGGGCGACGACCGTCATCGTTCGTTCCCGCCTTCCGAGGGGGGAACCCGGCCGTAGCAACGGGAGGCCTTCCGCAGGAGGCCCGAACAGGGCCAGAAAAGCGCCCTCCAGAGTTTCAGCCGTCGATCCCAGAATTTTGATCGAGCCATTGGATCGGGGGTAACAAACAAGATCGGCCCCTGGGCCTTCCCTGTTCCCGCCTTCTCTCACCGCCTCGCTCCTCCCTCCTTGCTCCTCCTCGCTCCTCCACCCTCGACGACGACGTCAAAGCCGACGACATGGTCGACAACAGCGAACGGCGCCGCCGTTCATGGTAGCGCCGTCAACGTCGCCACCGACTGGCACCGCCTGACCGGCGCCGGCGCCTACCGACCGCCGCCGCCGAACGGCGACCAGCAGAGCGCCGCCGGCGGCGGCGACGAGCGCTCGCCCGCCCCACCCGGCAGGAGCCTCGGGGCCCCGCGCCCGCGACTGCCCCCTCGCGCGACACCGGCAGCATGGCCGTCCGCCCCCCCCCCTCGGGGGGAGAGCGGGGTCCGAGCAGACGGAGTCGGAGGATGTCGCGCCGCATCGCCGACGCATCGGCGTCGATGCGGCGCAATCCTCCGACCAAATCAGGTCGGACCCCATTTGGGAGGCCACCAGTGGCGGCCCAGACCTCAAGAGACACGAAGATATCGACCCCAAGGTTTTTCGGGACCCTGGGTCCCTCAAAGAAACTGCTCAGGACGGGAGGTTAGTCCTCGGGAGAGGGTCGAAGGGTTTGGGGCCCCGATCCTTGAGACTATCAGATCGTCGGAGGTCTGTGTGGCGAAAGGGCCCGCCAGCTGCCCTCGGGTTCTCTTTTGAGCCCATTCGGCTTCTGAGCCCGCTCTGCCGCCGAATGGGCGCAAGTCCTACCACGGTGTCGGAACTGAGCCCGCTCGGCTGCCGATTCGACGGCCGAGCGGTCTCGGACGCCGAATGGGCTTAGCAAGGAACCCAGGGATGCTGGAGGAGGGAGGAGCGAGGAACAGCGAATCGCATAAGCACCCCAGGCGTCGCCGCCTACTGGCGCGCTCCGCGTGCTGGGGAGGGGGATCCAGCGCCGACACAATTCATCTGCGCGGACAGCCGACAGTTTATGCTTATTCAGCCTTTCTTCAAAGGAGGGGCGATGAGAGAAGATCGGCTACGCGTAAGAGTGACCTCTCGCCGCAGTGACCGTTGGTGCGAAGGTTCTTGGGCCACGGAGGTTCGGAGGGCGCACAAACCCAAGTAGATGATGAAAGATTTGGCGAAAGTTCCTGGCCGATTTCGTAGGGCGGCTAGGTTCCCGGGCTTCAGGTTCTGGGTTCCCGGGTTTCCGTTTGCTGGTTCCGGGCCGCGGCGGCGGGTTCCCGGGTTTTTGGGTTCTTGGGTTCTTGGTCGATCTTTTTATCGAGAGGTCTCACCATCGATTTCGTTGCCCACATTTCTATCGATCTGACCAGCAATCTCACCAGCAATCTCACAATCGATCCCACGATCGATCTCAGAAACGATCTTATTGTAGATCCCACGTGCGATCTCACGATCGATCTCAGTGAATCGATTTCACTATCGGTCTCACGACCGACCTTCCTTACTATCATCCTCACTATCGATCCCACGATCGATCTCACTATCGATCTCACAATCGATCTCAATATTCATATCACTCATTAATCCATAAAGAAGAACATGCGGATGGTTTGAACGTTAGTGATCTGGAGATTGAGATCGATAGTGAAACCGATAGTGAGGACGAGTGTAAGGTTGATCGTAAGCCGAGAGTGAAGTCGATTCAATGAGATCGATAGTGAGATCGATCATGAGATCGTTCGTGCGATCTTTAATGAGATCGCTTGTGAGATCGATAGTGAGATCGATAAAGAGGTGGGCAGTAAGATCGCTGGTGAGACCGATCGGTAAGGAGATCGACCAGGAACCTGGGAACCCCGCCGCCCACCGAAATCGGCCCGGAACCGGGAACCCAGGAACACGGAACCAGGAATCCGGGAATTTGGCCGCCCACCGAAATCGGCCTGGCATGTTCGCCAAATCTTCCAATTTCTGTTAGGATCTTTTCAGTGCAAGCACTGATTGGGGAATTTGCAAAGCATCCACTGATTGGATTGTCTCCATGTTACATCTGATATCCTTTCAAGGGGGCCTATGCGGCTCCCAGACCCCAGGAAGCGCTCGCCGTTTAAACCACGTTTAAACCCGTTGTCACTTTGGCTTAGGCCCCTCTGGGGCAGGAGGAGCGGGGGACCTCGTGACGAGGGTTCCCCCGCTTTGCTCGCGGCCAGCGACAGCCCCACTCTCCCCTGGCCGCAGTCCCCAGATTCCCGGCACCGCACTAAGAGGAGCGTGGATGGTGCCGCGAGGCACTGGCGTCGGATGCGCGCTCGTGGGCCCCGCTGGCCGTTCCCTCGGGGCGCGCGGTTCGATGGGAGGTCGAACGGCGAGTTGCTGGGGTCCGTGGGGCTGGCTGCTGGGGATCACCTGGAGGTGAAGGTCCGCGACTACGAGGGCCGCGCACAGGGCCGCGAGCTGCGCGTGGAGATTGCCTACGCGCTCGACGAGACCACCGCAGATGCGGCGTCGGCGGGCGGCCGCTACCTGCGGGCGCAGCACGTGGGGGCCACCGACGGGCACTTCAGCTGGTATGCGGGCAAGCCTGGCGGGAGGCCCCAGGGCACGCTGTACCACCTCTGCAGCTGCCCGCAGGAGGAGTGCACGGCGGGCTGCCCGATCGGCGCTGGAGGCGTCGAGCATATCGACATCTGGCGGGTGGTCGCCCCATGCGACTTGGAGACGCTGGAGGCGGAGTACCACCTCGCCCCGCGGGCTGCTGGAGGGCTGCGCGTCGAGTCCGCTGGCTGCCCGACGTCTGGGGCGAGCCAGGCTGGCTCCGGCGACGAGGGCGCTGCACGGCATGCTGGGATGCCGCCTGCGCCGCTGCCGCCGCTGCCGGAGCCCCCGCCCCCAGTGGCGGAGGGGGCCGATGGCGGCGAGGGCGAGCCAGCGGCCAAGCGGGCCCGCAAGGAGGAGCCGAGTGCCGTTCTCGGCGGCGCGGCGGCGCTCGGCGGGAGCCCGCTCGACGCAGAGGTCGCAGGGCTGGAGCGGGCGCTCGTGGACCCAGCCCTGGACGGGCGCCTGGCCCAGCGCGGCCAGCGGCTGCGGGGAGGCACGGGCGGCGGCTCGGGGTCCCGAGCGGTCGCCAAGAATGCTGCCATGCCTGGCGCTGCTCGGGCACTGGCGCAGCGCGCGCAGGGGCGCACGGCCGCGGGGAGTGGCTCTCGAGTCTCTGCTGCGCTTGCTGGACGCGAGAGGCTTGCCGCGATGCTCACGGCAGCGCTGCTGGGCGGCGAGGGTGGCAGCGAGCTCAACGACGAGGGCTCGGGCGTGCTGGATCGCGACACTTATCAGGGGGTCAACGTCAGGCGCGATTTGTTCCAGCGGATCGCGAAGCAGCGGCCGGGGGTACTCCTGGAGAACGGGCTGGCGCACCTCAGGAGCCAGTTCACTCAACTGCTCGCCGACCCCAGCCAGGCAGACCCCCCCGGCCCGTGCGCGACGCAGTACCTCAACACGGTGTTCTTCGTGGCGCACCCGCCGCGGACGCTCGACGTGGACGAGGCGCGTGCGCCGCGGGCGCTGGGCGAGGCGATCAACGGCTTGCTCCGCGGGCAGGTCGTCGAAGTCAGCGATTTGCTCATGCAGGAGTTCAAGGCCAGGACGATGGCGCTGCGGGATGGCCATTGGCGCAGTGCTCGGCGGCTCACGCTGACCCCCGGCGAGAGCCTGCCCGCTGGCGCGTCCCGCGACGAGGGGGCTGCAGCCGCGCGGGTGGAGGCGCGCGCGATGAAGGTCGCCGAGCTGAAACGCCGCCTCGCCGACAAGGACTCCTGTCGGGCTAGGGGTTTGGCCGGGGGCCCTCTCCAGCCCGGGGGGGAGCGGCTCCTGCTGGCCACAGTCTCGCGGGGGCGAGGCCCCAGGCCCCGGCAGCGACGCCCGTGGCGGGCTCTGCTGCAGCGCTGCGGATCCTGGCGAGCCGCGCACCAGTGGGAGTCAGCAGCGCAGTCCCAGCAAAGCAGAGGACTGCCCCACGCTCGGCGCCAGGATCTCCAAGGCTCAGCAGGGGCCCAGCAGCAGCAGCAGCAGCAGCAGCAGTGCAGAGCGGGCCACCTCCAGAGCTGCCAGCCATTGCGGACGGGAGCCCCGACAGCGCGCCAGCGGACCCTCGTCCTCAGCTCACCTGGAAGGAGTCGAAGGTTGCAAAACCCCCGCCGCCCCGACGAGAGTCGACGCGACTGCAAGTCGCGCCTGGTTGTCTCGAAGCTGGCTTGCCGGAGCGGGCCAGGAGGGGCAGCGGCAGCAGGTCGAGGACGAGGAGCAGCTCCAGGCCGCGGGCGCGGCGCAACCCGGACCAAGGTGGCGAGGCAGCCTTGCGGGCCCCGGAGAGGCGCTGAGCCCCGGCCAGGCAAACCATAGAGCGGCAACTGCTGCTGGCAGCCATGCTGGTGCGGCGGGCGCACGCGAGGGGCAGCGCCTGCGAGGGCCTGCGCAGAGCCGCCGCCGGAGGAAGCTACTCGCCAGTGCAGGGGGGGCAGGAGGGCGGCCACGGTTTGAGCTAGTCATGATGTTCTACGAGGCGGTACACGGTGCCCCAGGAGATGTCGGGAGGTTTGTTCGTAGCGCTCCGCCAGTGCAGCGAGCGCGCCGCGCGCGGATGCGCGAGGTGCTGCCGCTTCCCATTCCTGACGCTCCTGGGTTTCTGAGGTGCCGTGCAGAGTGGCAGTGCTGGTCGCGCACTCCCTGAACCGCCAATTTGCTGGGCGCGCTAAGGGCAGCCCAGTCCCCACTGGTCCTCTTACGGCTGCGCAGGAGAGCTCGATGCGTGTCATTCGCAAGGCTGCCAAGTACTTCGCCTCAGACTCCGCGAAGGACTTCCAGGTTCCTGACTGGCATGATGTCGTTGCTGCACGTGATGTCACGCACGGAGGCGAGGAGGTATATCGCGGGCCCTGCCGCTCGCGCTGGGAGGTGTCATGCCAGGCCTTTCGCCGAGAGGCGTTGCTGCTTCAGTGCGTGCGCTGGACATCGCCGACGAGCGCGTGGCTGGGTGGCTGGCTGATCCCACGTTGGCACTGCTGCCCAAGGCCGAGTGGCCGGGGGAGGGTCCCGCGGGCAGCCACCCAGGCTAGCTCGAAGGCGGAGTGCCATTTCATTGGCGCCAAGCTGGTGGAGTTAGGCCTCGCGGTGCCCATCGCTGATGACCAGATCTTCAAGGTGGGCAACAGAAAGGTGCTAGCAGGTGCTTTCGGGGTCGCCAAGGGAGGAACTCCCACTCCTGGTCATGATGTGGTGCAGCGGCTCATCATCAACATGGTCCCCGCAAACAGCTACCAGCGGACGATGCGGGATGACATTGGGTCCCTCTGCGCCTCGCCGTCGTGGGTCTCGATTCCACTTCCTGAGGGACATGTGCTGC